TAAACAGGTGGCAACCCTCCTATAGTTCAGCTAAGAAACAAAGCTATTCTAAACCATTTAGATAGATACCCATTTTGTGATTTTTTTTTTTTTTTTTTTCAAATAATTTGAATATAGTTTTTGTATACGCCTCTTGCCATCCTTTCTTTAACCCTTTCCGTCAATTTGTCGAATTTAATCGATATTTCCTATGGATGCTACTGAAATATGACTGATTAACTCCCCTTTCATCTTTTTCATTTTGTATTTATCCTATTTTCTTTGAAAAGCTTTCTTTTAAGTAGCATTCTTGAAATTTATTGCATTCAGTGTTGTGACTATCCCACAGGTAAAATCTCGTAGTTCTAAAACTCAGAATATATAAATGTGATAACCAGAATAACTTAGCTTTAAATTGTTTATTTGTGGTTCTAACAATTTTTGCAAATTTTTGGGGCCCTGTCAAACATATCTGGCAAGCTATACTTATTTAACGATAAGCTTTCCACAAAAAAAATCTTTTTCTCATCTTCAGGGGTTGACTTTTCCTGATATACAAAATTATAGATTTTTAGCGTACCGTAAATTTTTTTCGACACTCAAAAGGTTAATATAATTTTCAAATAAATAATTCCCTTAATTCAAGTCGAATTTGATTTTTTATACAGGTGGCAGCCCTCGCCCATGAGTATGGAATTGATTTTATTCTCATTTTTGTTGTTGGTATTTCCGACAGGGTTGGAGTGTGATGTAATGTGGAACGTTTTTTCGTCATCCCTTGTCAAATTTGGTTTGGAGACAAACCGGTTTCGGCGTTGTGCCATCTTCAGTGTCATTTTGATTTTATATATATCTATACCAAGTTCCAGTACTCTAACAAAAATATTTCCTGAGATATGCGGTATGAAAAATTACGTTTGTATAGGAGGTGCCACGCCCCCTCGTCTAATCTAGATTAAATCTATGCTATATTTAAAGTTTGGCTAAACGACACCTGTGTACAAAATTTCCTGAAGATCGGTTGAGTATTTCGGATTTATAATATTAGAAAGGATAAATGTCTCAAAAACCGCATTAAGACTTGCCGTAAGGATACTTAATTTAAATAATTTTCTTAAAAGGATTGTGAGTATACTAGACGCCTCATTGCTGTCATCAAGCACGTCACCCTGAGGCAATGCTCACTTATTTCCATTCGTTCTGAGTTTTAAGCGAGCATACATATTTACATGCCTTGATATGCGTTCGTCTTTGTGTACTTACATATTTATGTCTTTAGCTCTCATCAACACCATACCTACATACCTAAGACGCACATAAACACCCACTTAAGTTGATATCCGTGAAAAATGCATGCCGAAAGTCGCTTACATGAGTTCCATACAAAATTTTGCAACAAAAAATTCAGACAAAACTTTCACCAGCATTCTGTTTTGTGAAACTTCCCTTGAAGGCTGACTCGTTTCATTAATTTTGCAAATTTGAATTTCAAATTACATTATCACCATGCTTTTTAGAGCTTTCTTCCACGTAATCGGCTTTCTAAAACTTAATCTACAAGTAGTTACATACAACAGAGTATCTGCACAAACAAATGTGCATAAATATGTATGTGTAAGCAATTTTTCGTCAAACATTTACATAATTCACACCATATCCTTTAAACAAAAGTAAGGAGGAAACCCGAACAAAGTTTCATTATTCTACTTTCATTAGCATTTGACTACGCACATTGATTTCTCATCACAGCTTTCTCTTTGTTTTTTTTTTTGCAGAATTCTTGGAGCACCAGACGATATTGCAAGCAAAGCGATGATGCGTCAAAAGAGGAGCAACCACAACGTACAGGTAAATGACAATGGAGAATACATATATGTAGTTATGTTTTGTATGTGTGTAAATACGTGCTTCCGGTGCACCTTAAACACATATCCAGTACGACATATCCTACATATCCTCGACGGATTTAACACAACAACTCAAAGCACCACAACAACTCAAAGCACACGTCAACAACAATGTGCCACAGGATTATTCTATAATATTTTGTGGCATATGCCGGCGCTGATAACACATTGTGGCAGCTGCTTTTGCTGCCTATACAGCCACTCATTCACACGGTGTCATTTGTTGTTAATTAAGTGTGTAACTTTGAGAAGTATTTGCTTTTCATATACATATGTACATACATATGAAGGTTTCGTTGTAAATACACATAAATATGGTCATCTCATTTTCATCATTTTGTGGAGTGTTTTTCTGAGAGTGAGTGCTTTGAGGATTAATGAGTTGCCAAGCGACCACAGACAATGCTGTTGAGTAATTGTGGTTGAACACTGTGATTAGCACCAGCAAGGATAAGTAGAACTAATTCACACCTGCATAGTACTACATCTACATATAAATTTCAATTAGACCGTTGATGACTGCTTTTGAAAGAAGCATCGCGCTTGGTTGAGTACCTGTGTGGGTAGAGAAGGCGTATTTTGTTCAACTGTTGGAAAGTTCATCTTACAATGGAACATTTTCGACAACGGGGAAAGACTGGTTGACTTCCAGCCCAAACATTCCCAAAGCCACTTAGGCGACCTCTGATCAAATAACAAAGAACCCAATGGATGATCCCATTATTAAAGAATGAAAATATGCTTCGAAATTTCTTGACGTCCAGTCCATCCGAGGAGCTAACATCGGCTTGCAAAGATCCGCATGCGCCTCTATGCAATGACGAAGAAAGTCACAGTCACGACAAACAGCTAAGCAATTACACAATTGAATCTCAATCCTGCTCAAGCTAAAAACTTCGGAAGGGGGCTCCATCACCAAATTGCTGCGAAATACAAAGCATACCAAACTACCTAACTACTAACTGAAGTCAATGGTAATACGCGCTACAATTGAACGGGTCCGAAGAAAATGAACCGAGGTAGACCTTTATTCATGCCTGACAAAAGCGGTGCAGAAAGACGTGAGCGCGAAAAGCTAGAAATGATGGCGTGCAGGAACGTGACTCGGAAACTCTATCAGAAAATATGGAAGTAATGAAATAGTTTCAAGACTTCAGCTGGCTCCTGAAAAGATGAATATGTAAATATGTGACCAGATTTTCACAGTGTGTTAAATCCTGAAAAATAGCCTAGATACGAATTTCGTCACATGCAAACTCTAAATTGAAACTTACCTCTGGAAAGCGTAGTTAAAGCCGTCAATCTGACTCCAATTGGCACCATATACGGCAAAAGCATAATGCTACTGGCGTATGCAGATGATATTCTCATAGATGGTTGGCCTCAACATCCGAACCGTTGTCGCACAATATTCCTCTGGCTTTCGAGAAGTATAACTACGCCAATGAGGTGCATTGCATTAAGTGAATTCCTTATTCTGCTCATTCACTTTCGATGTGGTAAAACCAGCTTATTTTCTTCACGAAGCGTTGAAGATGGCGTATTTCCACAGAGTGTGTCGAAAAAGGCGGGCCAGTGACAAAGGAAGGGCTCAAAACTCTCCTCCTCTTCCTAGTCTCTGCATCATTTGTAGGGCATTTGATTTGATTTGATTATACTACCACAGCGCTGGTAATGGAACGGTTAATTGAGATTGGATTTAGATCTTTTTTTATCGATACTTCAACGGATCTGCGGATCAACGCAGAATGCTGATCTATGGCGAGATTTTCCTGTATAACGTGCAGGGTTAAGTGAGCATAGGTTAGTCCTCATCTTAGCGAGATTGCCTGCCGAGCAGTATTCGATATTCCGTTGTGCCCGGGAACTCATGCCACTTTGACGGTCATATTCGAGGCTAACTCGTTCAGAGTATTTCTATATGCGATTGCCACCTTCGAAGAGGTGCAGATGAACTACAGGAATCTAATCGCAGCTTCACTGTCAGCGTAAATAGTGGGGTAGACTTTGTTGAGGTTAAGGCACTATTGAGCCAAAGTTCAGCTTCCCTTGTGGCTGCTGATTTGCCCTAGATGACGCTGCTGTGGTAAGGGAACCTTAAGCTGATGTTCAGCTTAGTAGACCTTAGATCCAAGTCTGTACGATCCGTTTCGATGCTTTCTGTAATTCTGTTAGACAACCGATTGTCAGAGCAGTATAATGGATCAGTGTAGTCTAGATCACGTCGATCACGTCCAGAATTTTCGAGTGATCAAACTTGGGGTCTCCTACAGGTATGAGTTGCATTCAATCCGGTTGCGTAGCAGCTGGCCTGAAGCTTACCGTAAAGGTCAGCGGATGAAGTTTTAGTAGAATTTCTCGGGCCTTGCTGTGAGTGGAGAGTGGACTGTATACTACATCCAGTTAACTATGTGTGTATTAAGTCTCCATCGTTTCACCAATGGTACCTGGTATGTGTAGAGGGCGGTTATGGCTTTTCCAAAACGGTCTGTATTATTCCAATGCCAGTTTAACTTTCCGTCTAGAATAATCTGAGGTACTTGACCTCTATATAGAGTTAAACTTTATGCTATTAAAAGAGGGTGACTCAAAAAACTGCTTGCCGTATTTTCTTGAGAAGAGTAGCATTTCGGTATTGGCGGGATTCAAGTTAAGTCCACTCTCGCCGGACCAGCAGTGTACGAAAGTGCTTGCTCGATGCTGTCAGTGCAATATCGTAGCTTACGTTATGACTTGAAAGCCGGTAATCGGTCCTTTTAGGAGAGCAGTGTTTACTGTAAGATTCCAACTCTTTTTTATATGCAGGGAGTCGAATTCATTGATACCGAAGTATAGACGTAAGTAGAATTTAATTAAACATGGTTCAAAAGGTCCTAAGAGTTCCTGTAGCGACCGATCCAGCCGCATTTGAGGCAGCCATCTGCCAACGGCTTTGGGAAAGACATTATTGAGCTCTAAGTTGGTGAAGACGTCTATTTCGTGGAGCATAGCATGCACAGACTTGCCTATAAAGTATGCAGGCTAGCACGCGAAAGACTAACCGTTGGAAGAAGGTAACGGATATGCGAGCCAAGCAGTCTGCTTAGAACTTTAGCAACAAAGACGGTTAGGCTTATTAGTCTGAAGGCATTTCAGTTTTAACAACTTCCTTTTATAAGAAACTGTCGACGATCTAAGCATACACAGGAAATTAGCCATTCGAACATCTGTTTAAAATATTAAATTTATTTTCTGCCACTGGCAATTTTACATGGCTTATTTAGTTTCCAATATATTTTTCAATAAAGACGAGAAGTACCTAAAATCTAAGTTAAAACGGAAGTACTTTCGTTAATTAAAAATATCCAATAGCCGAATGGGCCTCCACATTTTCTCTCCTTCCTTATAGAAATTCAGTGAGTACACAATATTTTTTATTTTAATTGTAAATACGCATACATTTATTTATAACATAATTAATAATTTAACTTAAATATTCAATTCGCATAAAACCTTTGGATTGACTACATTTGGCATTTGTCACGGCCATCAATCGCCAGTGGACACACGTACACTTCTCCTGGGAGTCAATGATTGTTTGGTACATTTCATTTTTTTTTTTTTTATATAAATAATGAATAGAATTTAAAATTAGGCAAAGTGATAGCACAATAAGTATTTTTATATGTTATACAAGTAAATTTGCAGTAAATGTAGATAAAATGTAATACCCCTACACCGTTATCGTTGTCTTTTTTACATTTCATAAATTTTGCCCACTTATAGAAAGGCGTTGCGCGCCTGGCATTAGCTGCGCATTTCGAATACTTTTAATTAATTTAAAGCACTTAAACGCTAAAAGGATTACATAAACATTCTAGTTAATTTCTTCGTTTCCTTTTCCGCTTGCCGCCGCTCACTTCACAATTTATCCTCAAGGCTATCGTAGTCATAACAATCACTGCCCACCTTCGATTTTCGTCCGTCTTCCTCCTCATCCTCCTCCTCGTCGTCATCGCCTTTGTCGCTGATGCTATGCCATGCTGGTGCAACAACCAATTTGCCACCAACAGCCTGTTGTGCCACTTGCGTCCCGTGCTCCACCAGCTGTCCGCGCTGTTGCTGCGCTTCTCTCTTCGCCTCCTCACGGCGTTTTTCATTTTCAATTAACTTCTCAAAATCCTTTGTCGGATCATAAACTTCGAATTCCTCAAATTCGATATCGTCATACTTGCGCTTCTCGAAGAGGCTCTTATCGTTCGCCACATAATGGCGCACAACACTCTTGTCCAGCAGCGTCGTTGTGCTGGTTGCAATAACTGTCGTAACGCTGCTGCCATGGCTGCTGGCGACGCTCGTGCGACCGTATGGCTCCGGTGTTTGCTGGTCGACGCGATGTATCTCGACGGGCACAACTATTTGAGCGGGTAGCTGCGTGGAGCGGGGTGCCAGTATTGGCGTTGTCGTTGTTGTCGCCGTTGCTGCTGGTGCAGCTTGTATTTTATTAGCTTGAGTGGCTGCAGTGCGTTGCTCTCCTTGCGGCGCCTGCCAATTATCAACGGTTCGTTGCGGTTGCTTCGCGTCCATATTTCCGAAATTAATTTTCTCTGGCAAAGCGCTGGCTTCCTTACCTTTCTCGCAGTTGGCGTTGTCATCGATACGCGTACAACTCTTCAATGGCCCATTGGATTCTAATATTCTTTTCATGCTTGCCACTGTAGTTGACATCGTTTGCGCAGCTTTGCTATTGCCATCCGATTGCTTCATCGCTATTGTGTAAGCCAAATCGACATTTTTATTGCGCCACACTTTCAATGTGCCATTGTTGTCACCGCCACCGTCAATGCTTTCGCCAACAAAGTCCTGTGACTTTCGTTGCTCGCCAGTGCTCAAGCGTATATCCATGGCTGAACTTTGATAAGTTTTTTCGATTTCTGATTTATTATCTTTGTAGTTTGTGCG